CTGCACCTTGTTGTCTCGGATTCTCCAGCATCTGCAGTTCCTACTATCTCTAATTTGCATAATCTCTCCTCATAACTTAACCCCGGAAGTCCAGGTATTATTCTTGTAAATCTATGTTGTACTCCCTCCAAGGCCAATATACCTTTCCTAAGGTGAGATGCCCACACGGAAGACAATGGCCTAGTGGAATATCACTGGGCCAGGTAATGTTCTGGGGACCCACGTTCAAATCCTGCCATGGCATATGGTGAAGTAAAAATCTTGAATTAAGAATGATGACCATGGGAAAAATCCATCTGGTCCACTAATGTCCTTTAGGGAAGGAAACTGCCTTCCTTACCTGGTCTGACCTACATGTGACTCCAGACCCACAGCAATGTGGTTTACTCTTAACTGCCCTCTATGCAATTAGGGATGGGCAATAAATGCTCACCTGGCCAGCAATGCTCTCATCCCATGAATGAATAATAAAAAATCTGCTCACAGTACTCCAAATGGGGTCTAACCAAGGTTTTGTATAGCTGCAGCATTACTTCTGCATCCTTATACACCAGTCCTCTTGATATAAAAGTCAGCATTCCAGTAGCTTTCTCGATTATTTTCTGTGCCTGTTTGTGACATTTTAAAGATCAACCCTGGTTCGATAGAGAATGCAGGAGAGCCTGCCAGGAGCAGCACTGAGTATATGTAAAAACAAGATTTCAGTCTGGTGAAGCTACAACACGACCACTTCTGTGCCAATTTGTGAAAAAAGAGGTAGAAAAAGCAAAGATATCCCAGAACAAATGGATCTGATCTAAACTCTGCAGTCCTGCCATATCTGGTCTTGAATGATAATGGACAATTACACAACTCATTGGAGAAGGATGCTCCCCAAACATGCCCATCCTCAATGCTGGGGGAAACTCAGCAAGTCATTCACAATCTCCAGCCAGAAGCATCAAGTGGATGATTTGTCTCAGACTCCTCCTGAGGCTGCCAGTAACACAGATGCAAAACTTCACGCAAGTTTAATTCTCTCCACAAGATATGAAAAGGTGGCCTCAGGCATGACACTGGAAAGACTATGGGCCCTGACAACATTTTGGCAATAGTTCTGAAGGTGAATGCTCCAGAACTTGCTGCACCTCTAGCCAAGCTCTTCCAGTACAATTACAACATTGGCATGCGCCCGACAATGTTAAAAATTACCAAGGTATCCTTCTACACAACAAATAGGACAAAAGCAACCTGGCCAATTTCTGTCCTGTCAGCCTATTCTGTTGACAGTGCTGTAAAGCAGCACTTCCTCAGAAATAACCTCCTCAGTGATGCTCAAGGTCACTTAGCTCCTGACCTCCTTAAAGCCTGAGTCCTTATACAAACGAAAGAGTCAAACTTCAAAGTGTAGAAAGTAACTGCCGTTCGAACAGCATTTCCTCTCATTTTCTTACTGGCTGTGTGGGCCTCTGAGGTACATGCATGGCAGCGACTTCTACGCCGCGATCAGAGTGCTGATGCTGATTGCCGTGCGTGGAACATCACAGCAGCTGTGAATATGCACAGCCAGGCAGGTTAGAGGGAACATTGCCTTGACAGTAAGGCAGCAGTTGACTGAGTGTGGTATCAAGGAGACCTAGCAAAACTGCATGAATGGGAATCTGGGAAAAAACTCTCCATTTGTTGGAGTCATATCTGGTGCAAAGGAAAATGGTTGTGCTCATTGGAGTTCAATCATTTCAGCTCCAGGACATCTCTGCAGGAATCCTCAGGGTAGTGCCCTATACCAAACCATCTTCAGCTGCTAAATCAATAACCTTCCCTCTATCATAGGGTCAGAAGTGGGGATGTTCGCGGATGATTGCACAATGTTTAGCACTATTCGAGACTCTTCAGATATTGAAGCAGTCCATGTTCATACTCAGCAAGACCTGGGCAATATCCAGGCTTGGATTAACAAGTAGAAAATAACATTTGTGCAACATAAGTGCCAGGCAGTGACCAATTCCCACAAGAGAAAATCTAAACATCTTCCCTTGACATTGAATAGCATTACCATCACTGAATCCCCCACTATCAAAATGCTGGAGGGTTACCATTGACCAGAGACTGAACTACACCACTATATAAACACTGTAGCTACAAGAGTTTTATTAATTGGGGCACAGAGTACAAGAGCAAGGGGGTTATGTTAAATTGACACTTGATGGACCTAATTTGGAGTACTGTGTACAGTTCTGTACAAGTTGTAAGGTATGTGTATACATTGGAGAGAGTGCAGAAGCAGTTTACAAGAATAGTTCCAGGGATGAGGGAGACAGTTATGAGGATAGATTGAAGAAGTTGGGACTTTTCTCCTTGGAGAGGAGGAGGTTGAGAGGTGATTTGAGAGAGGTTTTCAAAATCATGAGCAGCTGGATACAGTAGATATGGAGAAGCTGTTCCTGCTCGTAAAAGGAGCAAGAATGACGGCACAGATTCAAAGTGATCTTCAAAAGAAATGAGGATGAAGTGAAGAAAAACTTTATCACACCATAAGTAGTTAGGGCCTGGAATGCACTGCTCCGAAATGTGGTGGAGGCAGGTTCAACTGAGGCAATGAAAAGGGCATTAGATGATTACTTGCATAGACATAGTAAGAAAAGAAATGGGGAAAAAGGAGATTGGCACGAGGTTGCACATTTGAACAGCCAGTGCAGGCACGATGGGCGAAATGGTCTCCTTCTGCAGCATAACACTTCTGTGATTTTATGAATTCTGCTGTAATTAACTCAGCTCCTGACTCTGCAAAGTCTGTTCATCATCTACAAAGCACAAAATGTGATGGAATACTCTCTATTTGCCTGGGTGAGTGCAACTCCAATAACACACGAGGAGTTTAACACCATCCAGGACAAAGCAGGCTGCTTGATTAGCTCCATCTAACATCTTTAATATTCACTCGCTCCACCACTGACACTTAGTAGCAGTAACCTGTACAATCTACAAGACGCACTGCAGAAATTCACCAAGGATCCTCCAACAGCACCTGCTAAGCAGATACATGGGACCACCACTGCTTACAAGTTCCCGTTCAAGCCACACACCATCCTGACTTGGAAATATATCAGCGTCCTTCCACTGTCACTGGGTAAAAACTCTGGAAATGTCACCTACAATCATTATGAATGCACCAACACTGCACATACTTCAACAGTTCAAGAACGCACCTCACCACTACTTTCCTAAGTGCAATTAAGGATTGGCAATAAATGCTGGCCCAGCCAGCGATGCCCACATCCCATGAATGAACAAAAGTAACTACAAGTTGTCCAGTTTGATCAAGTGTGACTGACTTACTGTCTGATACGGTAATACTGGTTACATGTTGCTGAGCTACCCCTGCAGCAATTGAATCTGGCCAGAATCGCTGCACTGGGCGACTTTGTGTCTTGATCTTCTTGGCCTTGGGTGGAGTGTCTGGATTACTGGCATCGAGCATGGGCTGCAAAATCCGCCGGCGAGCATTGATAAACCTAAGAACAAATATACAGCAACTCAGCATAACATTACATATGTAACAGTGTCAGCTCCTTACCATATTCTAGTCTAATCACACCGGCTCTGTCACAGAAACAGGGCTAGGCCTGCCCTACCATTCACTATGATTATGGCTGAACAAACTTAAAATGCCTTTACCTACCCATCTCCAAAACCCTGTCCACCACTGGTCATCAGAAATCTTTCAATCTCTAACTTAAATATACTCAAAGCCTGAGCTTCCATGGTTTTCTGGGTGTAGAAAATTCTAAAGGTTCCAAAGGTAACCCTCTGATTAAACAAATTCCTCCTCATCTCAGACCTAAATGGCATCCCCCTTACTTTTAAATTGTATCCCCTGGTTTTAGGCTCAACACTAGGGGAAACATCTTTCCTGTGTCTACCCTGTCTCTCCCTCTTAAGTATTTTGCAAATTTCAATGAGATCACTATCACTTTCCCAAATTCTCAATCCAAGGCTCAGTTTGTTCAATCTCTCTTCGTACGACAGTCCCACCCAACCCTGGGAACAAGTCTGTTGAATGAACCATTGTTTCACAATCTATGACAATAATATCTTTCTTGAGATAAGGAGGCCAAAATGGCACATAGTACTCTGGGTGCAGCCTAACCAAGCAAGACTTCACTACTTCTGTACTCATATCTTCTTTCAATGAGGACTAACAAATCATTGGTCTTCCTGACAGCTTGCTGCACCTGCATGTTAGCCTTCAGTGACTTATCGACAAGGACAGCCGAGTTCCTTTGTAAATCTACACTTTCCGACCTCAGACATAGAAACATAGAAAATAGGTTCACAAGTAGGCCATTTGACTCTGCGAGTCTGCACCACCACTCAACATGATCGTGCAATCTTAGTATCCCATTCTGTTTTCTCTCCATAACCTTTCAGCGCTTTGGCTGCAAGGGTCATGTCCAACTGCCTCTTGAATATATCTAATGAACTGGCTCCAACAGTTTCCCATGGAAGAGAATTCCATAGGTTCGCAACTCTCGGAGTGAAGAAATTCTTCCTCATCTCAGTCCTCAATGATTTACGCTTTATTCTTAAACTGTGATCCCTAGTTCTAGACTTCCCCAACATTGGGAACATTTAGCCTGTCCAGTCCCTTCAGGATTTTATTTGTTTCTATGAGATTCCCTCCTCATTTTCCTAAATTCCAGTGAATACAAGCCCAGTCAATCCAGTCTTTCCTCATATGTCGGTCCTGCCATCCTGGGAATCAGTCTGGTGAACCTTCACTGGACTCCCTCAAAAGCAAAAATGTCCAAATGGATTGTTGCCTCCTGGGTGCCAGGGTCCATGACGTCTCGGATCGTGTCTTCAAGATCCTTAAGGGGGAGGGTGAGCAACCAGCAGTTATGGTACACATCGGTACTAATGACATAGGTAGAAAAAGGACCGAGAATGTGAAAAACGAGCGCAGGGAGTTAGGTTGGAAACTGAAGTCCAGGACAAACAGGGTAGTTATCTCTGGATTACTATCAGTGCCACGTGATAACGAGGTAAGAAATAGGGAGAGAGTGCAGCTGAACATGTGGCTACAGGGCTGGTGTAGGAGGGAGGGCTTCCATTATGTGGACAATTGGAGCACATTCTGGGGAAGGTGGGACCTGTACAGTAAGGACGGGTTGCATCTGAACCGGAAGGGCACAAATATCCTGGGAGGGAGGTTTGCTCGAGCTATACGGGATGGTTTAAACTAGATTGGCAGAGGGTGGGGAACCAGATTTGTAATTCAGAGGATGAGGTATTCAGCCTTCCAACAGCCACAACAGGCAGGGAGGTTGTTAGTAAAGAAATGCGGTCGATGGAACAAAATTGTGGACACAGGGATGGTTTGAAGCGTGTATACTTCAATGCTAGAAGTATCAGAAATAAGGCAGATGAACTTAGAGCATGGGTCAGTACTTGGAACAACGATGTTGTGGCCATTACAGAAACTTGGGTAACTCAGGGACAGGAATGGTTGTTGGATGCTTTGAAAGAAATAGGGAGGGTGGTAAAAGAGGCGGGGGAGTGGCATATAGTAGCTTCTGAAAGGCAGATCGAGAATGATATGTATACAGAGTCAGTTTGGGTTGAGGTCAGGAAAAAGAAGGGAGCAGTCACTTTGTTGGTTTTTTTTTACAGATCCCCTAATAGTTGCAGAGAAGTGGAGGAGCGGATTGGGAGGCAGATACTAGAAAGGTGCAGAAGTCACAGGGGTGTAGTCATGGGTGACTTCAACTTTCCAAATATTGATTGGAAAGTTTTTAGTTGTAATAGTTTAGATGGAGCAGATTTTGTCCAGTGTGTTCAGGAAGGATTCCTGACACATTACATACATAGACCAACATGAGGAGAGGCCACTTTGGATTTGGTGCTTGGCAATGAACCGGGCCAAGTGTTAGACCTGTTGGTAGGAGAGCATTTTGGTGGAAGTGATCGTAACCCTATTACTTTTACAATAGTCATGGAAAAGGATAGGTACATACAGCAGGGTAAGGTTTATAATTGGGGTAAGGGTAATCATAATTCTGTTAGGCAAGAACTGGATAACATAAAATGGGAACAGATGCTGACAGGAAAGAGCACTATAGAAATGTGGAGATTGTTTAAGGAATGCATACTGCTTGTGCTCGATATGTTTGTCCCTAGCAGGCAGGGAAGATGCGGTCGAGTGAGGGAGCCTTGGTTCTCAAGAGAGGTCGAACGATTGGTTAAGAGGAAGAAGGATGCTTAGAAAAGGGTTAGGAAACAAGGGTTAGGAAACAAGGATTGGAAAAGGCTCGAGAGGGATACAAGTTAGCCAGGAAGGAGCTGAAGAAAGGGCTTAGGAGAGCTATAAGAAAACCTTGGCAGATAGGGTAGGGCCAGTCAAGAATTGTAAAGGGAATTTGTGTACGGAGCCTAAAGAGATAGGAGAGGTCCTTAATAAATACTTTTCTTCAGTATTCACAACTAAGAGGGACTTGTTGTAGAGAAGGACAGTGTGAAACAAGCTGGTAGGCTAGAGGAGGTGGATGTTAGTAAGGAAGATGTGCTAGGAATTTTGAGGAAGTTGAAGATAGATAAGTCCCCTGGGCCTGATGGGATTTATCCAAGGATTCTATGGGAAGCGAGGGAAGAGATTGCAGGGCCTTTGGCGATGATCTTTTCGTCCTCACTGTCCATGGGTATCGTGCCGGAAGACTGGAGAGCGGCAAACGTCATTCCCGTGTTCAAAAAAGGGAACAGGGATAACCCGGAAATTACAGACCAGTTAGTCTTACATCAGTGGTCAGCAAATTATTGGAAAGAGCTCTGAGCGATAGGATTTATAATCACTTGGAAAGGCACAGTTTGATTCGTGATAGTCAGCATGGATTTGTGAGGGGTAGATCATGCCTCACAAACCTTACTGAATTCTTTGAAGAGGTGACCAAACACGTGGATGAAGGTAGAGTAGTGGATGTGGTATACATGGATTTAAGTAAGGCGTTTGATAAGGTTCCCCATGCTACGCTCATGCAGAAGGTACGGAGGCATAGGATAGGGGGAAATATGGCAGATTGGATTCAGAATTGGCTGACCCTTAGAAGATAAAGGGTGGTAGTGGATGGAAAATATTCAACATGGTGCTCAGTTACGAGTGGTGTACCACAAGGATCTGTTCTGGATCCTCTTCTATTTATGATTTTTGAAAATGATTTGGATTTAGGAGCGGAAGGGTGGATTAGTAAGTTCGCAGACGATACGCAGTTGGGTCGAGTTGTGGATAGTGCGGAGGGCTGTTCTAGGTTACAAAGGGACATTGATAGGATTTAGAGCTGGGCTGAGAAGCGGCAGATGGAGTTTAAGCCTGAAAAGTGTGAGGTGATTCATTTTGGAAGGACAAATTTGAAAGCAGAACACAGGGTTAACGGAAAGATTCTTGGCAGTGTGGAGGAGCAGAGGGACCTCGGGGTTCGTGTCCATAGTTCCCTGAAAGCTGCTACCAGGTGGATAGAGTTGTTAAGAAGGTGTATGGTGTGTTAGCTTTCATTAATAGAGGGATTGAGTTCAAGAGCCGTGAAATTATGCTCCAGCTATACAAAACCCTGGTTCGGCCACAGCTGGAGTATTGTATCCAGTTCTGGTCGCCTCATTACAGGAAAGATGTGGAAGCGTTGGAAAAGGTGCAGAGGAGATTTACCAGGATGTTGCCTGGAATGGAGGGAAGGTCTTCTGAGGAAAGGTTAAGAGAGCTAGGGCTTTTCTCTTTAGAATGACGAAGGATGAGAGGTGACTTGATAGAGGTGTACAAAATGATCAGAGGTATAGATAGAGAGGATAACCCGCGAGGTGGAGGTAGCTATTACGAGGGGGCATAGTTTTAAAGTGACTGGATGTAGATATAGGGGAGACGCCAGAGGTCGGTTCTTTACTCAGAAAGTGGTAGGGGCGTGGAATGCATTGCCAGAGAGGGTAGTAGAGTCGGCCTTATTAGGAGCATTTAAGCAGCTATTCGATAGGCGTATGGATGATAGTATAAGGTAGGGGTTGAGGTTAGATAGACCTTAGGTTTAGAGTAAAAGTTCGGCACAACATTGTGGGCCGAAGGGCCTGTACTGTGCTGTACAGTTCTATGTTTTATGTTCCTCAGACTAGGAGACCAAAACTGCACACAATATTCAAGGTATGGCCTCAGCAAGGCCCTGCATAACTGCAGCAAGATGTTCTTACTTGAATAGTCAAATCCTCTTGCCCGGAAGGTCAGAATGCCATTTGCTTTCCTCACTGCCTGCTGCACCTACATACCAACCTTCAGCGAGTGTTCCACCATGACACCCAGGTCTCATTGCACCTCACCTTTTCTTAAACTGCCACCATTCAGATAATAATCTGCCTTCCTGTTTTTGTAATCAAAGTGGATAACCTCACATTTATCCACATTGTACTGCATTTGCCAAGTATTTTCCCATTCAGCCAGTCTGTCCATGTCACCCTGCAGCCTCTTAGCATCCTCCTCACAGCACACACTGCCAGCCAGCTTAGTGTCATTTGCAAATTTGGAGATATTGCATTCAATTCCTTCGTCCAAATCATTAATATATATTGTGAACAGCTAGGGACCCAGCACTGAACCCTCAGCACCCACTCATCATTGCATTACCATTTAAGAAATAATCTGCACGTTGCACCTCCCACTATGTGGATCCTGGATGTAACACTCTTGTAAATAATAGCACATCTAAGAACAAGTGCAGGTTCATTAACTGGTCATCAGAGCTTGTCATGAAGAATCAAGAGATGTTTAGATTTAATGGATGTGTACACAATGGAGCTCAGCAAATAGAGGGTAATAGTGACTCACCAGTTGTTGACCTGGAGGAGGGTGAGGTTAGTCTGACCAGCTATTTGCCTTTTCTCATCTTCTGTAGGGTAAGGATGCTGGGAACAAGAAAGAACAATTGAGTTATAAGTATCTGTGCAACTAGCCACACAGACAACAAAATGGTTCCAGTAATAACTGCAAATTTCCACTGCAAAACAGGAGCTGATTTTCAACTGGAGCATCTAGACTGTTATAAAATGAGCTTATAGAAATATTACCACCTTGACTCAGCAGGTCAAACTCTGTTATTCTTTTCATATGACATATAATAGAACACACAAAACAAAATTGAAACACAACATCAACCTTGTATATATATATAGCATTTTCAAATTAATTGCAAAGTCATGACTCCAGAGGAGTCATTTCACTGAGTCCATGCCAGCCCCTGGATGTACCGTGCACTCACTCCCACTCCCCTGCTCGAAACCCCAGCAAATTCCCCAGAAATATTCCCTTTATACCATTTGCTCCAAAGGGAATAACATCAGCAAACTTTGAAATTTTACTTTGAATTCCAACATTCAAATCAGCTACATATTGCTGCAAAAACAAATAAGTTGTCTCTCATCAGGGCAGAATCACAAGAAAACCAAATAATAGCTGTTTCAGGCTGGTCCTTTTTGTAATGATACAATTGGTGTACACCACTAAAATAATTCTGCTGCCAAGCTGCAAAGACATTTCACCTGCCATACAAAGTGGAATGTGTCATACAAAGTTTTGTGCCAGTGTTTTTTTTTATTCATTAACAGGATGAGGACATCACTGGCTAGGCAGCATTCATTGCCCATCCCTAATTGCCCAGAGGGCAGTTCAGAGTCAACCACATTGCTGTGGGTCTAGAGTCACATGTAGGCCAGACCAGGTAAGGATGGCAGTTTCCTTCCCTAAAGGACATTAATGAACCAGATGGGTTTTTCCTGACAATCGACAATGGATTCACGGTCACCATTAGACTGTTAATTCCGATATTTTTATTGAATTCAAATTCCACCATCTGCCGTGGCGGGATTCGAACCCGGTTCATATGCAGTGTGTGTGTATACAATGTGTGTGTGTGTAAGCAGTGATTGTGTATGTATGCAGTATTTGTGTGTGTGTGTGTGTGTATGCTGTCTGTGTGTGTATGCAGTGAGTGTCTGTGTGTATGCAGTGTGTGTGTGTGTGTATGCAGTGTATGCAAATTCATGGTCATCATCAGATTCTTAATTCCAGATATTTTATTGAATTCAAATTCCAGCAACTGCCATGGCAGGATTTGAACCCAGGTCCCCAGAACATTATCTGGGTTTCTGGATTAACAGTCCAGCGATAATACCACTAGGTCATTGCCTCCCCGGTGATGCCCAATATACGGGCCATAGTCCCGAAGACTTTGGAACATCTTAAAGAACATGCCATTTCAGTTGTTCACAACAGATGGAGTATTAACCAAACAGACTGTGCTTGCAAAACTCAAAACATAGTGCCCAATATTACTTTTAATTCCATCATTGGACAACACTTCCTAGAGAACCCAGACTCTTGTAAGAAACAGATTAACATCCAATTTTAGATCATCAGTCAGGGTCACGGTGTGGCTCAAATATGCATTCTAGGTCATGCAAATATTCATCCACAAGACTCTCTTCCTTTGCAAACAGAAAGAATATGTCTACAAATTGCATGTTTTTCCACTAAACAAAGGCTTGGGAATAGCCCTTCTCTGGTGCATTTCCCTGGCAACACTATGACTAATCAGAGTCAACTTGCTTGGTTTGAACTTAAACAGCAGCTTGGTAGTTAACTGTTCCTAGTGCTTATTGCATGGCAGCATGTTAACCAATCACAGTCCACATACCAACTAATCAGCACCCTCTTCTCATTCAGTATAAACTGTTGTTCCCTTTGAAATTCTTGAGATCCTGTCCTGATGAATGCAAGAAAACATGTCTTTCAGGGCGAGCACAATGGCTCAGTGGTTAGCACTGCTGTCTTACAGTACCAAGGACCTGGGTGTGATTCTAACAGGCTGACTGTCTGTGTGGAGTTTGCACATTTTCCCTGTGTCTGTGTGGGTTTCCGCCGGGTGCTTGGTTTCCTCCCACAGTCCAGAAATGTGCAGGTTAGGTGAACTGGCTACTGAAAAATTGTTCTGTAATGTCCAGGGATGTGTAGGCTAGGTGGATTAGCAGGATTACGGGCATAGGGTGGGGAACAGGGTCTGGGTGGGATGCCAGTGCAGACTCGATGTGCCATTAGGCCTCTTTCTGCTGTAGGGATTCTGCTATGATTCTATTATGTCTCTTCTTTCTCAGCATATTCAAGTTCTGTACCACCAAGCTGTACTTAATGGTACGGCCCTAGAAAGTGTTGCCAAACAAAGAGACCTCGGGGTGCAGGTTCGTGGTTCCTTGAATATGGAGTCGCAGGTAGACAGGGTAATGAAGAAGGCATCTGGCACACTTGCCTATATTGGTCAGTGCATTGAGTATAGGAGTTGGGACATCATGTTGCAGCTGTACAGGACATTGGTTAGGTCACTTTTGGAATACAGTGTTAAATTCTCTCTGCTAAAGGACAGATGTTGTTAAACATGAAAGGGTGCAGAAATGATTTACAAGGATGTTGCCAGGGATGGAGTGTTTGAGCTATAGGCTGGGGCTATTTTCCCTGGAGTGTTGCAGTTGAGGTGTGACCTTATAGGGGTTTATAAAATCATGAGGGGCACGGATAGGATGAACAGTCAAGGTCTTTTTCCCAGAGTAGAGGAGTCCAAAACTAGAAGGCATTGGTTTAAGGTGAGAGGGGAAAGATATAACAGGGACCTAAGGGGTAACATTTTCATGCAGAGAGTGGTACATGCCACAGGAAGTGGTGGAGGCCAGTACAATTACAACATTTAAAAGGCATCAGGATAGGTACATGAACAGAAAGTGGTTAGAGAGATTTGGGCCAAATACTGGCAAATGGGACGAGATTAATATAGGATATCTGGTCAACCTGGACGAGTTAGACTAAAGAGTCTGTTTTTTGCACCTTACAACTCTACTAATTTATATACAGCAAAAAAGTTGTGGTCCTAGCACAGACTCTTGGGGGAACGCCGCTGTCAATAATCTACCAGTTTGAAAAGTATCTACTTAACACGTTATTTCTGTCCTTAACCCAATGTTTAGCTAAGTTGACACCAACCCTCCTATCACATTAGCCTCAATGTAGTTAACCAGCCTTTTATACAACATTTTGTCAAACATCTGCTTAAAATCCCCGCAGATAACATCCACCATATTCCTTCTTTTACTTCATCAAAGAATTCAATTTTATTCATCAAACTTGATCTGCTTCCCCTGAAGTAACTTAAAATCTGTAAATCTCCAAGTCTTAGAAAGGAAGCCATATCAAAAGCTAAAAGCACACAAACTGTGATGTTTGTAAGAATCTCACTTTAGTAAGGAAACTATCACTTTTGCTTGAATCCTACAGCAGTTTTTCCACTATGTTTCGTGACCATGCTGTATGCCATGATTCTGCTATCATTGGGAGTACTGGGTGAACAAGGTGACTGCCATAGTTTTAAGGGCTTAGATGGGGGTGGAATTTGTTAAATGTGTTTAGGAAAGTTTCCTCAAGCACTACATAGAGGGTCCTACTTGGGAAGGGGCAAAACTTACCCACTCTTGGAAATAGGGCAGGACAGATGACTGAGGTGAGAATGGGGGAGCACTTTGGGACCAGTGACCATAGTTCTATTATTTTTAAAATAGTTAAGTAGAAAGACAAAACTGGTCCAGAGGCTCAAGTTCTAAAGTGGGGTAAGGTGAATTTTGATGGAATTAGACACAAGCTTGCAAGGGTTGATTGGAGTAGGTCGTTTGCAGCCAAAGGGGCTGCCGACCAGAGGGAGGCCTTTAAAAGTGTGACAGGAAAATTGTTGGGATCGAAGGCGGATAAATCCCCATGGCCTGATAATCCACATCCCAGAGTACTTAAGGAAGTAGCTCTAGAAACAGTGGATTATTGGTGGTCATCTCCCACGATTCTATAAAACTCTGGAACAGTCTCTGCAGGTTGGAGGGTGGCTAATTTCACTCCAATATTCAAAAAGGGAGGTAGAGAGAAAACTCTCGAATCCATTATCTAGGACTTTATAGCGCAGCAGTTAGAAAGCAGCGGCAGGATCAGACAGAGTCAGCATGGATTTATGAAGGGGAAATCATACTTGACAAATCTGTTGGAATTCTATGAAAATGTAACCAGTAGAGTTGACAAGGGGGAGCCAGTCGATGTGGTATATTTGGACTTTCAGAAAGTGTTTGACAAAGTCCAGCATAAGAGATTATTGTGCAAGATTAAAGTGCATGGGATTGGGGGAAGTGCATTGAAATGGATAGAACTCTGGTTGGCAGAGAGGAAACAAAAAGTCAGAATTAATGGGCCCTTTTTAAATTGGCAGGCAGTAACTAGTGGGGTCCACAGGGATCAGTGCTGGGACCTCAGCTATTCACGATATATATTAATGATTTGGATGAGGGAACAAAATGTAACATCTCCAAGTTTGCGATAATACCAAGTTGGGTGGGAGAGTGAACTGTGACAAGGATGCAGAGATCCTTCAGCATGATCTCGACAGGTTGGGTAAGTAGGCAAATCAATGGCAGATGCAGTATAATTTGGATAGGATAAGAAGGCAGATGGCTACCTGAATGGCTGTAAATTGGCTGTAAAGTGTGCAGCAGGACCTGGGTGTCCTTGTACACCATTCGCTGAATGTAAGCATGCAGCTGCAGCAGGCGGTAAAGAAAGCAAATGGTATAAGAGTTTTTGAGTTTTTTTAAATTCATTCACGGGAGGAGGGTGTCATCATTAGATTCTTAATTCCAGATTTTTTAAAGATTTGAATACAAATTCTACCATCTGCCATGGCAGGATTCAAACCCAGGTTCCCAGAACATTATCTGGGTCTTTCGGTCAACAGTCCAGCAATAATACCATTAGGCCGTCACCTCCCCTGAGTACAGGAGCAGGGAAGTGTTTTTGTAGTTATACAGGGCTTTGATGAGGCCATGCCTAG